ATACAAAATAAAGAGAAAAACAGAAAATAAAATCAATACCAAGACCAAATATCCTACTTGCCTTCCCCGGCAACGGCGCCAAATTTGTTGTGTACAAATTATACTTTTTACCGAGTATCGAATCAAAAGACTCGTTTCCCGGGTCGATCTCACGAGGAAGGCTATTCGGAATCTAGCTTTGGTATTGACAACACATAAAAAGGAAAACAAACCTAAACATACTAATCAGATAGCAGGCTTGAGAAATTATCAGCTAAGAAATAATAAAAGCATAATCTACCTAAAATATAAACGAAACAAAAACGGAGAAGCTAGGGAATCGGGGATAATTAGTTCAAGTTCTAGCAAAGTCGGGCTATCAATTGTTCAGTTTAAGATCGACACTCTCGCTTATACATCTAGCGGTTCCCTCCCAATAACTCTTCGTAACAAGGGATTGAACATAGACGAACAAGTTCGAGCACACAACACAAGCCAATTACCCCAATCCCAATAACTTTTCGTAACAAGGGACGGGTCATCGACAAGCGCGTATTTCAATCCAAACATTATAGACTATTCAGTAACGAAATTATCTACCTCGTGTGCGCCTATTACTACGATTTCTCACCTTTCGATTCTGAAAGCCGCTAAGTCAATTAGGAGCTGATTAATCAACTAATCATATAGAATTGACAAACCCTAATACGACAAATTATTAACATCCAACTGTCACCAATAGCAAGATCGAAATGTCACCTTTCGATTATATTAATCTATCAAATACAAATTTATCAATTCCTCATCAAAACAACGCACATAAGTATGAATGAATCAAAGCCCGACAAGTGCAAATCAAATAAGAACAATCAATCTCCTAACCCTAGCCCAAAAGATCAGCTATGTAACATAAATTCAACATGATAAATCGATTCTCCTAATTTAATCATTGTTCATGAATTAAACAAAAGAGAAAAGCTTACAATTATTCAAATCCAAGTTCGAATGTTGAAGTCGAGATACAAGCTTAATCCGAAAAAAGAAATAAAAAGGAAAATAAAGATGAAAAGAAGAAGAAAAAAAATGGAGAAGAAGGAGAGAGGAGAGGGAGAAGAGAGGAGTTCGTGAATTTTCTCTGGACCTAGGGCTTTCACCCTCGGTCGAGAGGTGAGAAAATCGTCCCTAAAGCGTCCAAAATTTGTACTTTAAAAAACTGAATTCGCAGCTTCTGCGGCCGCGGGAAAGTCCACTGGCCACGGCGATGAGACGCTCCGCGGCCGCGAGATGTTCCGTGGCTGTGATATTTTTGCTCTGTAGACTGGTTGCTTGGGTTCGTTTGGTCGTCGCGGCCGCGGGGAAGAAGAAGTCACGGCCGCGGTCTTAAAATCTGGCGGGCAGGGAAAAATTTGCAGGCGCCGCGGCGTGGCAGGCTTGCTGCGGCGCGATGAGGGTGTTCTCCGCGGCGTGAAGTTGGACACGACGTGACGGGGAGCCTGGCACGGCGCGGCAGCTGTCTCACGGCGTGACGGGGATGGCTTGCAGCGGGTTCTAATCGAAGCTTCACGGCGTGACGGGGCGGCGCGGCGCGGCAGACCTTCTCCTCACGGCATGGTGGAACTCTCTCGGCGTGCTGGGGCCTTCACGGCGCGACGGTGGAAATTTTGGACCGCGGCTTCGCGGCGTGGCAATGGTCTCGCGGCGCGGCAGAGGTGGACGTCACGGCGCAGAGGGTGCGAGTATTGCGGCGCTGCGGAATTTCTTGCACGGCGCGACCGGCGCTGCACCTGTTTCCCAGCGTGGTGCAGAGGGTGTGCTTGTGGAGAAGACGACTGGTTCTTTTGGTGGAGCTGTGATGGTGGAGATGGGAATGTACCGTGGAGTGGCTGCAGTGGCATGTAGATATGATGTGCGTGAGCTTCATTGCATGGAAGAAGAAAGTGACGCAGCACGGGAGTGGTGGAGCGGCGTGATGCTGATGATGAACGTGTGGAGAAGACGGCTGGTTCTTCCCGTGTCCACTGCCCCCCTTATTGAACGTCGTGCGGGAAGCTTTGATTGATCGAGTTGCATGATCGAGTACCCGCATCATAAGAATATGCGCGTTAAGGGTCCCGCGTGTGGTGCCGCGGCCGGCTTGGACCAAGAGCTGTTATCCTCTTTGTACTGCTCGGTGTCTCGTTTACGCTCGTCGGGTATCGAAACTCTATTCCCGGGCCCGACTAATGTTTTCCTTATTGCCTATCCTTCCGAGACTTTCAACCTGCACACCAACGACGACGAAACAAACGCAGAAAACGGAAACAAAATAACTGAAAAAATACATAAGGACTCTAAATAGATGAAACACACGACACGAAACAAAAGGGACCAAAACTAAGAGAAAAAACATGAAATGGAAGAAAAAGAAAGAAAAAAACAAACACAAAAAATACAACAAGAATGAGACAAACATATATGTATATATATATATATATATATATAATTAGTAGGGGTTTTTTCAATACAAGGCCCGAAAGATAGGTAAACTATCAATTCGGGGCCTGAAAGATTTTTTTTCTCAATTCGGGACCTGAATGTTATAAAACTATCAAATTAAGTCCTACAAAAAAAAAAAAACTTTCAGGCCCCAAATTGATAGTTTACCTATCTTTCGGGCCTTGTATTGAAAAAAAACCCTAATTAGTAACACCATCCAAATACGTAAACTACCCCTTAAAATTGTAATAACTTATCTTGAGTAAAACGAAATTCAGCCTGGGCAGTCTATACGTCAATCCGCTCCTAACCCTATCCCCTTGAAAAAACTCTCTTCTAAGGGCTTCTCCAATGGTTAGCTATTTGGCTAACTATTATGACGTGAACAGGGAAAAAGTAAGAGAGAGAGTAGTCACTAGCTACTAACAAATAGCTTATCTATTTCACGTAGCCCAAGATCATGTGAGAGGAGTACGTGGGTCCAATACTGTAAAATAGTTATTTTTCTTATCTCTCACATCCACGTCAGCTAACCATATAGCTAGTAATAGCTATTACCATTGGAGATGCCCTAAGAGTCCGGTTGCTCCTCATATTATCAATAGATTCCATGGTCTTAGTCAAGGCCAATGAGTTGAATTCTAGTCACTCATTAATGCTCCATCCACCATCACTTCTTCTCTCATTCATTCCCTCTTGAATGGATAATTGGCCAATTATATATAAATAAAAAAAAATTAATTATAAAATAGATATAAATATGTTTTTGACCAAAAGATTTAGTTTGTGTGTGAACTAATAAAAGTTGCTAATAATATGAGTTAACAAAATTACTATAAATATGCTAACATTTGTTTGTGCTTCTAATAATTTTTCATATTATATTAAAATATATTATAGTAAAAAGAAATTAAACATATCGGTAAAGTTGTTGTGAGATAGACCTAACGATTAAACAATCATATTTTTCCAATAGCATGAATACACTTGTCATAGTCTAAAAACAGCGTAAGCAAAAGTATGATATTAAGTATACATTTTTATTATGAAAAGTAAGACGGGTCGATCTACCTAATGACTATTCCATCTCATATAAGAATTTATGTGAACTGATATTTTGACTTAACAAGTATTTAATCAATAATTTTATGATAAATTTTCAATTAAAACATATTACATCTAATCCAAGTATCATATGATATATAAATACAACTTGAAAGAAAATTTTCAATTTACATCGTCACCTCTCATTTCCACGTATGTATATGTGTTTATATATGTTTGAATCGACAAAGTTTGATGTTATGATTCATTTACAGCATGCTTTGGAGAAGATTATTCATCACATGTGGTCACTGCACATTTAATTGGTTGAATTTCACACAAGTTATTTAATCGCAATTATTTGAGCATTTGAATTTATTTGTATCTCAATCGAATTTTGTCTATTTTAACTGTGACTCACTATACACTATGTATAGTGAAACTATTAATTTAGTTTATTTCTTAAGTAAAAATAAAACTATAATTTTAAAATATTATTATCGATTTTAAATTGTTTTGTAAGATTATTGCAATCTATATAAGTTGTAAATGTTAAAAATAATGATAACGAATGATCTTAAAAAAAAAAAAAAAAAAAAAAAAAAAAAAAAAAAAAAAAAAAAACATGACAAAATTTTAAACTATCACATATAATTATTTAAAAAAAAATTAATTTAATGTACATATTTTTTATTATCTCCAAAGTCCAAACTAAAAAGATTTTGAATAAACAAGATGAACATAGAAAATGAGGGTTTGTACACAAATTTTGATACATTTTTTTTTTTTTTGTCACGGCTTTTAAATATTATCAAAACTATATTTCAACATATTTGACACAATTCATATGTAATGTATTAATTAATTAAAAAAAAATAATACAAAAATAAAATAGACAATAAAAATATAAAAGTGAAAACATAATTTAAAATCAGACGAAAGCATAAATCATGTACCACTTCTTTTGTTTAAAATAATAAAAAATAACAATACAAAAAACTAAATATAAAAGAGAAAACATGATTTAAAATCACATAAAAATATAAATCAATCATATATCAAGTGCATCACACTTACTTGCACTTTACTAGTTTAACAAAAACGATAAACATGACGTTTTCCAGAAATCAAGAGTGACCTTGTCTTTCACATTCATATAAACATGGAAGGAAAACCAACCGGCGGGTATAGTAGACTAGAAAAACAACTAAAGCAAAATCTGCATCAGGTAATCTTAGCCCTCTAAGTTTTGGTAAAAGATCACTAGTAAACGAACATGGCATTTTCCAGAAATCAAGGGAAGGCCGGCCTTTTACAACATTAGAACACAGAATGCAAAACACTTGAGGTATCAGCGATCCGGTTGGTAAAATCACTAAGAAAAGATCTTCAATGTCAGCAATACACGATGATAAATCAGAAGGGATTATCATCAGATAATCTTGGTCCTTTAAAATCTGGCAGACTCAATCTACTTGATAAAACGAGCTCCGAGTTGTTTTTTACAGCAGCTTAGGTGTCGCAATTACCATGAGTTCAGAACATTCTTTATCGTCCCAGCTCATATATGGGGCCTTTGGTGACTGAGGGGATCTACACACAGGTGAACAGCATTGAAGAACCTCCTCATCTTTGAATGGCATTTCAATTTCCGAATGCTCAGTGTTATTCCTCTCAGGCTGAAAACAACACAAACAAACACAGTTAATTAAGGCTCACCTCACTGTAAGCACTTCCTAAGTTCAAAAATTTGGGGGAAATGCAATTTCAAGTCAATACGATGTCTACGAGTGACAGGATTTGTCCCTTTATTTTTGAAACAAAAAATCATGGGTCAAATATCTCCTGCTAAATTAGGGCTACCCCGCCACCAATTTTCCAAACAATTACACGGCAAAATGATAATTTTTACAGTAGAATGCAGCAAGCTCACCTATATTGTTTATGCAATAATCTTGGGTTTGTTTGTTTGTTTTGTCCTTTTTTTTTTTTTT